TTTCCCTATCAAAAATATCCTTGTGGAAAACCTCTCTCCCATTTTAAACTTTTTTTTTTTTTACTGGGCATTCACATTTCTAGTCACTGACATGGGTTATAGGAGTCTACAGGAGTTTGAGGAGTTACCCATCAAGGCATTTTAACTTCGTTCACTTCTTGCACTAGCAGAGTGGTTAGTGACCACCTGAAAATTAATCTGGGTTATTGAAGAGCAAAAGAAGACTCATATTAATGTTAAAGAACACTCTTGTATGTCAAAAGGAAAATAATATCTGCCTTTACGTTCCTTCAATCACTCTAATTATCTAAAAGTGACAAATGGGAAACAACTGAAAAGCAAAGGTAAAGAAGTTAAGATTTTAAAAGACATTCCATTTGAAATCCGCAAGAGGAGACGACAGTACAAAAATCTAACTGCTTTTCTGCATAAGAACTCCACTCCCTTCAGATGCATATTTCCATAAGGACTTATTTTCAACTACAATGGAAAGAAAGAGAAGATCGATTCTGTCCAAAAAGCAAAAATGTTCCTGGATCAGCAACAATCCACATCCAAAGTCCAAGGGAAAGAAGAAGCCACCGTACAAACAGGACTCAGAAGCCAGTGAAATTATTTTTGGCAGCTCTACAGAAGAGTTCGATTCTGAAAAAGGAGTAGTGGCTCCAAAAACACTTAAAGTCCTATTGAAATTTGATAAAGCTAAACACAGGAAATAGTGACTTTATTGAAATCCTGAAAGTCCATGAGTGCCTTAAGTTTCAATGATGTATCCAATAAGGTTAAATGGGTTTGACTTAGTCTTAGTGAAATAAGAAGACCAGTATCATCCTATTATATGTTTGTAATCTGATAATAGTAGGAATGATTAATCAGTGATTCACATGTATTATGATCCTTGCTATATCTCTTGTTTTATTAGTGTTAGTACGCTGTATATCCCTTTCCTTTGTAGTGTGTATAATTTTTTTTTAAAAAACACTCTAATTGTCTGAACAATTGTCTTAGCTTGCTGAAGTCTGTTAGGAAGTAATCTAAATAGAACTGACTCTCTAAAGTATGGAGCCGTAGTAATACTAATCTGTGTTAATGGTAGTGAGGACAGAATTTGGGCAATTCATTTATTCTGACTGGATATTTATTTATATACTTCATTTATGCCCCACTTTTCTCCGCAATGGGGACCTAGAGGGGCTTATAGCATTACACCCTCTTCATCCTCACAACACCCCTATGACAATCTGAAGTAAATTCTAAGAGACGGACTAAAGTATTTGCCATTTATTTGTTGATCAGCCATGAATAGTTATAGAAATAATAAAGTAATAAGAACAATCTCTTCTGCAATAATCTCATATTGAAGGAGAAGGAAGTTAAGGCAGAATGAAAGACAAAGAGCAATAGCTGTACTTAGGTAGTTCTATACGTGTCCAGAACTAATAACCTGGCAGCGTCACAGAATGTAAGGGTCCCTACGACCACCAGGTTCCAACACAGTCCATCTCCTGAGGGCACAGCTGCAGGAGGTCATGTCTCAGCAGTGTATTCAAGAACCTGTCACAGCCCATCAGAGAAATGCTAATTTCTGCCCCAAACAACAGAGGTAATGGAAAGCCATCGAAAACAAAGAAGAGCATAGATGTAAGGATTAATCGAGGAAAAGGAATGGACACTATTTCAGTCAAGCAGAAAGTGGAAACATGGCTGGAGGTAGGCCGTGTTCTTTTTCCCCCCTGTGGACATGCATTGTACCCTACATTCTTTCCTTTGTGAAACTGATGTCCCCAGTTCATCATCAGTCACTATTACCTCTGCTATATCAATCAGGAGTTACCTCAAAAGCCATTTTTCATGGACTTCTCTGAGTCTTATGAATATGCTATGCTGTCCATTAGTACTCTTAAGACATCCTGTGTCTCTTACTTTTGAGTGTGGAGCAGCAGTTGAGGCCAACTGTCTTAGAATTATGGGATCATGTGGCTGGGAAGTACCTGAGCCACACATAGAGACCAAAGTCATCATCAATTCCAAGAAACAGGGATAAGATGGAATGTACATTTTACTCTAGTACAGTTTGTTTCTGGTTTCTGCTACCATAGCAACACCCACAAGTGATACAGCTCACAATAGAAAAACAGTCATAGTATCACATATGAAAATGCATTTAAGGACAGAAGAGGAGAATGGCAAGGCCTGCCCTTACCCCAAAATACCCTTGGGGTTCCAGATTGTGGCCTGGCAACCCTATCTAGGCACCTCTTTTTAAAAATCAAAATATATAAATAAAAACAACAACAACAAAACCCAGCAAAGCTCCAGTACTACTTTAGACAGTGTTTTCTGTTTATCTGTTTAAACAACCAAGGATTCCCCTCGAAAAAATGTTTAGCTGCAAGCTATTGTCCATTAAGGCTTCCTCTGGTATGTTAGAGAAAACAGTGGTTTTCCTAGGGCAACCTTTTGTATCAGAAAACACTGATATTATCCTGCAATATGTTATGATACGGTACCGTACCACCCATGTCATTAGGCATTGTCAGATCAGAAAGTTGACAGGTGGCTTAAAGCTACATTATTTTAGATGTCGAGCTGTGATATAGAAATCAACATTGGTTATATAACAATGAAGCCTTATGCAAATGGACAGACAGGAATGCTGAACTGCTACATTTGTTTAGAGTCTGCTGTGGAGTAAGATGTTTTATGCAGAAGTTTACTACTGCATACATCTGGTAATTTTCTCTAAGGTGTTGCCAGCCATACATAAACAAGAGGATTATGATGGAGTGGAAAATATGGGACAATCCAGATGGCAAGTGAAGGGCTTTTTGGAACGCCCAGTATAACATGGCCTGTATTCTTTTTTTAAAAAATAAGTTTTTATTTTTAAGAAAATATGAAACAAGCATGCAACAACTATGACATGAATTGGCTCTCTTATTATTTTCTTGCATACTTAACAACCTGTAATCAACTGAGCTTTGAGCACTGATTCTTAAGGGAAAAAATATAAGAAGACAGGAAGTAGGAAGGCGGACTGTCTGAAATTTGAAACATTATTGGGCAGCATTTATTAGATGAATTTTTGTATTAAACCTTTCTTGGCCTCCTGTGCTTTAGTCACCTGACATAACACTTGTATTTGTGAATTGGGCCTAGGGATGCCAGCCTCCAGGTGGGACTCAGGGTTCCCCTGGAATTACAGCTCATCTTCAGACTAGCGAGATCAGTACCCCTGAAGAAAATGGATGCTTTGGAGGGTGGACTCTATGGTACTGTAGCCCACTGAGTTGTCTGTCCTCCCTAGATTCTGTCCCCAAATATCCATGAATTTCCCAACCTTGATCTGGCAACTCTACCTCCCCATATCCTGCTGGTTGCTAGGGGGACCCGGCAAACTTAATTGGGTCTCAGGAGTAGGCTTGCCAGACTTCAGAAGGCTTCCCTGTTGTTGCCTGCCAGCTCCTGAAAAACCATAAAAAATGGTAGCAAATTCGGGGGCATACCAGCATTGCACCAGCATATAAATCACTTTCCAGCAAAAAACAGAAGTGATGTCATGCTGTGAGGGTAGAGTTGCAAGGCTGTACCTGGCAACTGGTGGGAGATACAGGGACATGGGGGTGCATGGTGTGATGTGCACCAAGAGGTCACTTCTGGGGAAATCCCATAAGGGCTGTCAGATTGCTCTAGGAATCACCAGCAAACTAGAGCTACTTGATATCCCTTCTGGGTTTTCCTCAAAAGCAACACTGCAGCACACATGATGCCGATGTGGGTTTTAAAAATATTCTTCCATTGCTGCTCAGAGCAGTGGTGAGCAAAAAGGCTGCCAGTGGGCAGCCACCTGCCATAACTATGTTGAGGAGGGACACTTGAGGGTTTGCCAAAAACTCTACAGCTTAAACATAGAGTTTTTGCACATTCTAGGGCATTCACCATACCATGATGTCATTCCACGCTGGCCTGATACCAGTCCCCATCTCCCAAATGCTCTTGGGTGGTCCAGGCTGCAGCCTAGCAACCCTATCCAGCTGGTGCCTGGAGATGTGGAATTACAACTGAACTCCAGGCTGCATGTAACAATTCCCCTGGAGAAAATGGCTGCTTTGCAGGGTGGGCTCTATGGTCTCTCTCGTCCCCAGGTTTAACCCCCAAATCTCCAGGAATTTCCCAATCTGGAGTTGGTAGCCCTAGTCTGTCGGATCAAACTTTGTGTCATGTTGGGGATTTGTGATTGGAGTCCATTAGTTCTGGTGGGGGGAAATAAGCTAGTGGCTGTTCTTGGGGTGGGGATTTTGATCAGGAAAACAGCTTGGGGAAATAAGTAAAGCCCCTGTTCCTCAGCATCATTGTCTGATCCAAATTCCATCTCTCCTGGTTTCATAAGCCTAAACTACAGTACTGATCTGATCATGGACCCCAACATAATATGTAAGACAGTCCAAAGAGAATAAAGCAAGAAGCAACTTAAGCAGCACCCCATGGTTAACTCCTACAGACACTTTTGGAGCATATGTTTTTACCAGTAACACCATTTTTGAAAGCTCAGACTGAATGTGAGATGGCGATCTGAGTATTCCAGCAGAAGCCCATTTACTCCATTAACATCCAACAATCATTCTGTGATGCTGGTAGCTAGGACTCCCAGCTCCGGGTTGGGAAAATACCTAGAGATTTTGGGGCTGGAGCCTGAGGATGGTGGGGTTTGGGGAGAGGAGGGGCTTTGGTGGGGCATAGTTCCAAAGTGACTATTTTCTCCAGGTGAACTCACCTCTGTTGTTCAGAGATCAGTTGTAATTCCAGAAGATCTCCAGTTACCACCTGAAGGTTGGCAAAACTACTGGTAGGTAAACTGGGATCCATGCCGGAATGCTCAGACAGCTCCTCCACAGACTTAGCATGAATAGAAGATAGTGGTAGGGAGAATTAGCTTGTTGATCATGTGAGAATTCAGTGTCATTGTGACTGTGATTTTCGTTTGACTTTATTCCTACTAGCGTCATCACCAGGTTGACATAAAAAGAAATCTTGAAAATTTGGTGAAGAAAGAGCGCATTCAAAGACTAAAGGTGAAAATGTTTCATTTTTGTGTTACAGAGAGTTTTGAAAGCCTGTTTTGTGTATGTTTGTATGTGCTCAAGCACATGGACACACATGTATATATACAAGCATACAATCTATGCCTTTCCTTGAAACACAGAAAACATTTTTTTTATTTATTTTGTTTACATATACCCCAATTTTCTCCCCATTGTGGACTCAAAACAGCTTACACTGTTCTCCTCACCACCATTTTATCCTCACAACAATAGCCCTGTGAAGTTGGTTAGGATGGAAGTGTCTGATTGGCCCAAGGCCATCCAGCCAGCTTCCATGATAGAGTGGCAATTCAAACCTGAGTCTCCCAGATCCTAGTCTGGTACTTCGACCACTACATCACATTGACATATTGGATAGGAGTTCCCTTCGGAAATACGTGCTAAGTCAGATTCTGTAAACTGACAAAGCCACCTAGTTCTTTTTTCTTTCACATCTTCCTCTCATCCTGTTCTTAATGCTCTTTTAGCTATATTCTTCTAGTCTTTATTTAGTCTATCTTTAATTTTTTGTGGTAAGTCATAAGCATATCATACACGAAGTTTTTAAAATCAATTATCCATATCCCCAAATGTAATTGCTAGTCTTGGCTCTGTTCTGAGGACTGATGATCAAAATGCTGATTTAATTGCTTGGCAAAGTTGTTATTCAGACCTTGCTCACAGCAGCAGGGTTACAGGGAGCATCCTTATTTCCTAACAGCAACTCTTTCTTAGGCAGCTAAGACTAACAATTTTCCCTTCATCTAGGTGGAACGATCAAGAAGGTCAGCAGAAGATACAAATTTCCCGCTTTCTCCACACCCACCCACTGCACCAAAGAAGCATTTTGGACGCCGCAAATTAGGTGACAGAGGACAATCAGGTCATTTGGTGAGTATATAATGAGGACCTGAAGGGTAAAAGATATCCCATTACTGATCTGTCCTGTATTCAGGCTCCCAATTATACCATCATCAGATACAGCCTTGTTCCATCTGCAATCAAAGTGATGCCTCCCATTTGCTGATCCGGAGGAAGGTCACAGC